AGAGCCCTCCACCCAGCAATTCAGTCCCTCAGGGAGTTTGGATGTGTCTATGGGGCTTCCATGACCTTTCCTTGTACAAGTTGTGCTAGTTTCTCCTGTATTGTGTACTGTCGGGGTGAGGAGTATTTTTAAGTAAACAATAGGCAATTCGATGTGTCACAAAGCTCTGTTCCACGTAGTACTAGAAAAAGTTAGATGGCCCAGAGACCATGATTTCAAACTCCTAAGCACCTCAGCGGTGGAAGTAGATGCGCACAGAAACCCTTACATAATACTGTGTACTAGAGACACTTAATGTTTGTAGATTTTTCCTGGATATACCACTTCCCTAAAGAGAAGGAGTCCCTGAGTGGTGCAAATGGTTAACAGTCAAAGTTCTTGGCTGCTAACTGAAAGACTGGAGGTTCGAATCCATCCAGAGGCACCTGGAAAGAAAGGCCTGGCGCTCTACTTCCAAAAACATCAGCCATTGAAAACCTTACGGAGCACAGTTCTACTCTGACACACATGGGGTTGCCATGAGTCAGAGTCAACTCCAGGGCGAATAGTTTTAAAGAAAGCCCTGTGGGCGGGGGCTGCTGTCATTGGCCTTTATGTAAAATATCTACACAGGCCTCCGCGAAGCCCCGCATGTGAAGGACCTGTGGACTCCCTGCACCGTGCCTCCCTGCTGCCCACCCCCCACCCCCACGGTCCACCCACACTGTGGTCCCCCTCCTCCGCTACCATGGCTGCCCCATGTGTGCTATGCCACCCCCGCTTACTGAGATGTTTTCTGTGTTCTCATCTTATAAACGGCAGATGCCATTTGTGATGAAGCCATTTCTCTTAGGCACTTTTTCTTTTCTCATTCTGTTTGATAAATATGTTATTATAAGTCATTGCATTTAACTTTGGTCTTTTTTAAAAGAGAAAATTTGGAGCCGCTGTCAGACCCTTCCTATAAGGGGGCTCTGTGAAAGCGTGAAGGGTAGCAAGCCAGACCTTGCAACAGGCCATGAGGGCCGTGAGCCTGCAGATACAGCGCTGAGCACAGGCTATGGCGTTTTGTGCATGCACAGTTCTAAGCGTCTTGTTGTAAGTCAGTTAATATCTTAGCAACAGCAGATGGCTTCAGGTAACCTGAGCAGGGATGCAACCCCACAGGTCCTAAGGTTTGTGAAAGGGGCGGTGAGCTTGTCATTAGTGTCCAGCCCGGCAAGGGAGGCCAGCACCAGCACCACCAGCAGCAGTGGAGTCCCCTCCCTGGGCAGCCATAATTCGCCCCAGGCAGGATGGCGTAAGTGCTCTGGGAGCCGGTTAGGGTGGTCTCCAGTAGTGATACCTGGGGCAGTGTTATTGTGGGTACTTCCCTTATGTCCACACATGTACTTTGTTTTTAAACCTGAAAACTCTGGCCAGCAAGTGTTCCTTGCTCTGTGCAGTTCTGGGACCCTGGAGTGCTGCTTTTGGATGTGGCCAAGTGGAGGGAGCTGGGGGTGGAGCCAGGAGACAAAGTGGAGACCCTTCCAACCTCAGAGGTATGGCCCAGCTCTGAGCTTCAGTGGGCTCATCATACGATGGGAATCAGACCTTGTAGGGCTGGTGTGGGGAATAAATGACATCATGCTAGTGTAAGCCTTTGAAAACTGTTAATAATTATACCTAGGCAGGACTTTAGCCATAATAATAAATACTAGTAATATAGCACATAAGCTTGCATTAAAAGGAATGGTACTTGGACTTTACTTGTGGAGAATGATTAACTCTCTATCTTTGATATTAATCTAAATTTTCTTTTACAAGTTGCACAAAGTGAAGCACATTATAAGTTCACAAGAGATAGACTGTACAAGAGATACTAGATTGTACACAGTCTGAGGCACCAAATGTCGTGTGCCTTCTCCGCCGCTGTCACCCTGCCATGTGGGGAGGCGGTCACACCCAGAGGGTGGAGGTGGCAGCCGGCGGAGGAGGTCCGAGTCTGAGAGCGGTCCTTGCGACCAAGGCAGAATTCAGCGTTGCCGCAACCACAGCCCACCGACGTATTCGAGGTTCTGATTTCAGGGAGGAAGTCACCGCGGCGCACTGGAAGACCTCGCACATTTTAAGTCAGGTTTTCCTTTGGGTCCTGGGGTGCCTCCAGCCCACTCTGAAGTCGCCCTGCAGCCTGGGGGCATTGGGGCCAGGTCCTCGCGGATGCCGCAGGCCAGCGGACGGCGGGTGCTCGCGCGGGGCCGTCTGCTGGCGTCACGGAGCAGCCAGCACGGGCAGTATCGGTGGCGGTGGGCCTGCCCTCTTCGCGCCTCGCCTACCACGCTGCAGGCCCCGGCGGCGCAGCCGGGTGCAGCGCCCTCGTCTCCCCCGCCCCCAGCCTCTCAGGAGCCAGCTCGAGACCTGCGGCTGGCCTGTGTACAGCAACCAGGTCACCGGGCAGGGCTTGAGACCCGGCCCTACTCTCTAAGCTCGTCCTGGGCCTGCCGCCCCGGGCCTGGGACTGCGCCAGCTTCCGCGAGTGCGCAGCGACTCCTTTCGGGTATGTTCTCTGTGGAGAGATCGTTCTGCAGCACTGCTACCCCCACGTCATTGCTCACCACTTCTTTCCAGAGCCTGAGGGCGGCCGCAGACAGCTGTGGGAGCGGCGCCCGCCCCGACTGGGAATGCCTCTCAGCTGAGACGGGGCGCAGCGCTGGCCTCTTAAATAGAAGGAAAAATTCTGAGCCCCAGCTTCTTCTTTCAGTCAGGAAATACAGGGGAGGAGGGTGTAAGAAAGAGTTAAAAGGTTACTGAAGAAAATTTTCGGCCAGACTTAAGGGGCCAGCCAACCCATCCTGACCTAGAGTAGCCGGCCAAGTGGCACAGAGCTGCGACGGGACTCTCGCAGCAGGTATGGCCCTTGGAAAGAACCCTCTGAAAAAGACGATTTCACTAAGCAAGTGATACACCTTTCCCAAACCGAATCACACATATTTCTGTACACAAGACAAAAATATAAAGGCTTTTAATGCAAATCAAAGCCAATCGATGAAGTGTGTCACAACACTCAAACCTTAATGAAAATTAGGTTTTTCCTTCCAATACTCATTTAAGTGAATGTTATACTTTAATATCTATTTAATAGATAGTTTAATATATGCTTCCTAACCATCCCTTGGAATTCATTTAAAGTTACCAGAAAGAAAGTGATCTGTAGATCCCAAATGAAATACCTTTCTAAACCCTCTCCTCCGCTTGTTCCCTAACTGGAAGGAAATTGCTTAATGCCTTTAAATTGTAAATTTGATAAACACCCACATATATCCTAGGGGGAAAAACACTTTGATTTGGTAGAAGTCTATTTTTTATTAGTTCATTTAACAAGCTTTTAGCAAGCACTGCTGTGAGCCAGACGCTCTTCTGGGCACAAGCAACATGGGAGTGGGGCAGGAGCCCTGGCACAGGTCATGGTGGGGTGTGTGAAGACCCAGCAACTCCTTTCCCCCTTGAGCCTACTTATGTGTGGGCCTGTGGTAAAGTAGTAGATACTCCTCTCCAGCTGCATTATAACCCATTATTGACTTTACTTTTCATCCCTTTGACCCACTTTTGGATTAGATTTGCAAGAATAATGTCATTAGTTGTGGTAGCTTTTTAAAAATCAAGATCTATTGTTTTCAGATTTAAAAGTCATTCAAGTATGCATTGCATGAATGCATTTTAATAAACCAAGCCTACTTAGTTCTCATAATTCTATTTTATGCTCCACAGATAAATTTCCTCCTAATGCCTGTTCTAGTGGGAATGAAATTCATTACTGCAAAAATGGGAAGGATAACTCAGGCCATGTCTTACTTTTTCTTCAAACTTCTAATTTCACCACTTTCCACAAGGGCTGGTCTGAGATTGGCTAGTGCACCTAAATGATATCTGTAATGCTTCATATCCAGTAACATCAGGCCACCTCAATCCCCTGCTTTAAATTCTTCACTGGTGTGTCTTCCCTTCCAAGATCAAGGCTAAAATCCCCATCCAGCCCTTGCATGGTCTCAGTTCTGCCTTTCCATGGCACCATGGGCCGCACTGGCTGCTGCACTCTGCCACCTCCCTTCCCTCCTGGCCTGCAGACCATCTCAGGCCCCTTCCTGCACGTGCCTTCCCTGACCCCTTGAGCTGGCCTAAAAGTCCTCTCTGCTGTGCTCTCAGGGGTCTTCTACACACTGTGATGACTGTGACAGCAGGAACTTTGCAGCAGACTCTGTATGTCTCTGCACCTCTTATACATCACTCACTGAGTAGCATCCTACACACTATAAAGGAATGTGCAAGTGTTAGAGTAAAGAAGAAATCTTTATATCCTTAATTGTAATAAGGAAAACAAGAAAATTATTTGTAGTAAATATGACAGACAAAACGTTATATAGAGTCCAACTGAGAAATAGAAAAAAGCCACCTGTCAAGAAATCACATAAGAAGAGATGTTATTAACAAACAAATAAGAATATTGACGTTACCTTATTAAAGAAATGCTAAACTAAGCAATACTATCATACCTATTAAGGAGATAGATATTTAAGATGATGTTAACACACAACGTAGTGAAATTAGTATACTATAAATTGATGGTCACAATGTACATCAGAAAGTCCTTTAAGGAAACACTTTCTAAAAGGGTTTTTCTACATCTCTAATATTCATACTTTTTGACACAGTAACTCCTTTTCCAGGAATCTACCCTAAGGAAAGGGTTTCAGTACAGAAAAGACTTTATGTACAAAGATATCCATTACTGCACTACTAACGCAATTTGGAAACCTAAATGTCCAATGATGGGGAATGTCTAAGTGAACTACAATATATCAGCTCAGTGGAATATCAACAAAAAATACAAAACAATACTTACAGCAACCTAAAAAGTAGAGTGAGACATTGCATGTATGGTTTGATTGTAACTATTTAAATATGTATATATCTGGACAAAGACTGGAAAAGATGAAGCAAAAATGAAAATACTTGGTTAAATGGTGACATTGTAGGTAAGTGTTAAAACTTTCTTTTTAATTATTGATATAATTTTGTGTGTGCAATAAATGGAAATTATAAAAAGCTAAGGAACATTTATGTAAACTCACAAGTGAGAAAAAAATCAAAGGACCATCACTGCATACCCCGTGGGGAGCAGAGACTCACTGGGAGGGCAGGAACACCACCCCCACCCCAATCCTGCAGAGGGCAAGGGCCAGCTCCCATCTCTGAGAGTCCATGGCTTTCTTCACTTGGCCTAGGCACTGTGGCTGGTGTGGATGAGAGCACTGCTTCTTCGTGGCCTGCTTGTGACTGATGTGGCAATGAGAGATTGGAACAGAGCCCAGAGCACAGGTAAGAGGGGCAGGGCCAGGTGGAGAGCTTTGGCCAGTAGTCCCCAGAGCATGGGAAGCAAGCATAGTGCCTGCCCCTACCTCTACAGCCCAGGGTCCGGCCCACTCAGGTTGGCTTCCCCCAAGTGCCTGGGGAGGCAGTGGTGTGCTCGGAGCTGACCTAGCAGAAGGAGAAAGCATGCCTGCCTGCGTGAGCAGCAGGGACAAGGCCAGGGCAGTCTGTGTTCTTTCTGCATAACGGGTTCCTGCTGTGTCTTGCAGCTCCTCCTATCTTAAAAAAGAAAAGAACACTTTGAGCTGTTTTTGGTCCTAAGTTCTGTTCTTTATTTTCAGTTAAGAGAATGAAGAAAAACTCAGGGCAAAAGTGAGTAAGTGAGGAGCTCAGTAATGTGCAGTCTGTCACTTTGTGAGTGGTGAAGACTTCCACAGGGACCAGTAAACAGTGAGAGGAGCAGACATTCCCTCCCTGCCCAGCTGCATACACACCGCACCCGCCCCAGGGGCTCCTGGTCTGTGGCTGGGTATTGGAGCACTGCATTGCCTTCTCAGTCAGTTCTCTTGGCCCCCAGGATGACTTTGTCACGTGACAGACAAGAAGCACTACGTTCATTACTTTTGTGATTGTTGAGAAGCAAAGAACAAATGTCTCCTCCTAGTTGGTGGCCCTGTGCCTCAAATCATTGCTAGACTGTACTTAAGTCAGAAGAGCAGCATATATCACAGGTCTACTTGGTAGCAATTCGGGAATGTGGAGACTGGTGATTATAAATAAGTTTTCCTTTCAGGCAGGGAGGGGAACCCTGAGGTTCCCTCACCTGACCAGGATCTGCCCCATCTCATGGGCTTTGCCTATCCTTCTGCCTTTGAGAACTTCACCTGCCAGGTGGACACCGGCCCTGAGCTCATGTTTGTCCTATAGAACCTGCCACGTGCAGGGCTTCTTCTGGCCTCCTCAGGAACATGATTTCTGAGAGAAAACCCCTTTTCTATCTCAGCACACCCTGGTGTTTAGAAGAACTCTTCAGACTTGTGTCCTGTCTGGTTCTTATTGCAGAGGAAAAACCTTTTACTGCGGCCCGTGTTCCCATGTTGTGACATGTCCTGCTCTCAGAAGGCACCTGCAGGTCTTCTTGGACTGCCCCTCCAGATCTGGGTGCTCCGTGAAGGTCAAGGTAGGGCTCAGTCGTCTGGCAACATGCTTGCTCCTCCACACCCACCATGTGGAACTGAAGGTCATGGTAGGGGTCAGTGCACTAGCCATGTGTGTACTCTTCCATGCCTACCACGTGGACAGTGAGAGGGCTGTGGTAGGGATCAGTGCACTGACTATGTGCTTCTTCACGCCCACCATAGGCAGATCTTGTGGACTGGTGGGCAGAGGTCTTGCCTGCAGCTCTCATTCCAACTCTAAGGGGAGTCCCTGGAACAGGGGAGGAAGCTGCCACGTATGTGCATAAGCCTGGCCTGTGGTCTGAAAAACAGAAGACAGGTGGTTCCAGACTTAGCCTCCTGGTTTTTGAAACATGACTACTTTTTGCATGACACTTCTTCACTGGTGGGAAGTCACAGCCAGGTTCACTCTTGTTGTAGCTCCTGCAGAGCAGTATTTCCTCCCTTCTACGGTTGGCCACCTGTGAGGATGGGGTAAGTGCAGGCCCACCCCCTCTGGCCTGGTCATCTAGCTCTGCCAGTGCCCTCAGCTTCCTCAGGTGGGCCATCACCCAACCCAGGCTGCTGACCCTGTGCAGAAAGTAGCCTTTCACACTCTTCGTCTAAACCAGTGGTTACCCAAGTGTGAAATGGGACTAGTAGTGGTATCGTCTGAACCTGTCTTAACTTCAGAGGGGACAGTGTGAATCCAGATTAGCCCAAGGCTGATCCCTATGAGGTGGAGGTCAGACACACCTATACCCTCCAATCTTTTTACCAATTCTGATGCCAGCCATCCCATGGTACTCTCTACTTCTCTTCTGAATTCAGTAATCCATTGCAATGACCACAGAGAACTCACAGACCATACTTACAGTTAAGTGCTTTATTAAGGAACAAGGTACAACTAGGGATCGTGATCAACAGGCTACAACTCAGGATCAGGAAGCATGTAGGCAAAATCTCCCTTCTTCAGTGCAGGACAGCTCTCTCAGCTCCTCTCAAATGTACAGGCCTCCTCTCGGCCCCCCAGGAGGCCTCCTCTTGGCCCCCTCAGGACAGGCTCCTCTCAGCCCCCTTCACGATAGGCTCTTCTCAGCCCCCTCAGGACAGGCTCCTCTTGGCCCTGCCACCTGTCACCACTGTCTCTACTGCAGGGCCCCTTCCAGGCCTGTTGCTGTCTTCAGTGTTATGGCCCTTGACCAACGTCACAGCTCTTTTAGGAGGTTCCTTGTCTTCTATCTGTTTCCTCTCTCTTGTTTTTTTCTGCTTCTTTCTATCTGAAAAACCTCTGTGGGGCTGGCTGATTATGTCTATAAAACTCCTTGTCAATTTCAAGGCATAGCTGTTCCCAGCAGGGCCACAAACAGACCGATTCCCTCTTGGTAGGCCACAGACACCTCATTTGCATAATTCATAGTCACTTCATTTGCATGGTATATTGACCAATCCCTGCAAGGTGTGTATCAGTCACAGGGCAGACTGCAGCCCAGGGCCAGACAAAAAGTATCAAACCAAGTCGTTTATAGCTTACCCAGAAATTGTAACAAACCCTGTAGGGTAACAACTCAGGGCTTAGCCGAAAAATCTCTCAAACTACTTTTCCAAAACACCAAGGCAAAAGTCTGCATAAAGGAACTCATTTCACCGCACCAAGTGTGAAGTGAATGGGAATGCAGATAAATCCACAAACAGAATCTTTGAGAATCACTAATCTGAGCAGCTGTTCTCACGATGACTTCGAGGTACATCACCTGCAGAGCTTTGAAGAGTGTCCCAGCCTTCTCTGTGTGAGCCCAGCCCATCCCCATGGGCAGCTCTGCACCATGCCTTAGTTGGTCCCCAGTGTCTTCCAGCTCAGGCCTTTGTCTCAGAGACCACACTGCACATCGAACGGGTTTTAGGCCAGGCTGTAGGATAGGGCCTCACTACCTGTAGTCTGTAAACCCACATTCCCTTCCTGTGCAAAAATTGTCAAAAAATCCATGTGCTGAGAACTGTGTTCATTGCTTTTTCACATGTCACCTCATTTAATACCCCCCAACACCCCACTTTACTGCTGACGACTTAAAGGGCACAGGGCTTGTAGCTGTTCCTATGTTGGATGCAGCCCATTAGGGAACTCTCATTGCTACCCCTGGAGAAGTTACCACCTGGCAGAGCTGGCAGCCCACCCAGATGGGGCTGTGACGAGACCTTTTAGTGTTTTTTTTCTGTATTTAAGTTGACGTGTCTTAGTTATCTAGTGCTGCTGTAACAGAAATTCCACAAGTGGATAGCTTTAACAAAGAGAAATTTATTTCCTGACAGTAAAGTAGGCTAAAGGTCTGAATTCAGGGCGTCAGCTCCAGGAGAAGGCTTTCTCTCTCTCTCGGCTCTGGAGGAAAGTCTTTCTCATCAATCTTCCCCTGGTCGAGGAGCTTCTCAGGCGCAAGGACCTGGGTCCAAAGGATGCATGCTGCTTCTGGTGCTGCTTTCTTGGTGGTATGAGGTCCCGCACTCTCTGCTTGCTTCCCTTTCCTTTTATCTCTTACAAGAGATAAAAGGTGGTGCAGGCCACAACCCAGGGAGACTCCCTTTACATTGGATCAGGGATGTGACCTTAGTAAGGGTGTTACAATCCCACCCTAATCCTCTTTAACATAAAATTATAATCACAAAATGGAGGACAACCACACAATACTGGGAATCATGACCCAGCCAAATTGTTACACACGTTGTGGGGGGGGGACATAATTCAGTCCATGACAGATGTGTTTAAAGTGATAAGGCAGCAATACTTGCTCATTGGTTTTTGGTGTCCTTTTTTCTTGTCCTGGGGGCAGGAGGAAGGAAAGAAGGAGGTCCTGCCAGTAAGGGAGGAAACTGCCCAAGCTGAGTGGGCAGGGTTTAAGCAGGTGCTGAAGATGGCAGGTCTAGGTTGTCCGGACCATACCTTTGTAAAGACTCCTGCTTGAAGTGAAACATAACAAAAGGAACCAGATCCTGCCACCTAAACAAACTAAAACCAAACACACTTGGCTTACATGATCTTTATTATCTTTTCATGATCTTTATTTAGGGTTTGAGGAGTAAGTTGAAGCTTTAGAGGGTGATGCCTTCCCTGCAGCTTTGTGGTGGTCCAGAGCTGGGCCTCCCGAGGCTGGGCCTGATCTTCCCACTTGGCCCCGCAGGCCCCCGGAGAATGGCCATGGGGGACTGCGGCCCCATCACCCACCTGCCGAGCCCTCAACCTCTTTAGGGCTGGGACCCAAAGACCAGGAGGAGTTCCTGACAGAAGCCCTCTTTCATTCTCTGGCTTCCTTCTGGCTGAGGCTGGCTTGTTCTTCCCACACCATTCACTTCTCAAATAGAATGCTTCAGTGGGTAAAACCCTAATTATAAAGAGCTCAAAAGCATGCATGTGGGTGCATGTGAGCATGTGTGTCGAGTAAGGGGACACAGGTATTACCTCACGGGTGCTCTGGTTTCAGGGCTGATGCTCGTGGAGCCCAGAGGTTCACACTTTAGTAAGCCCCAGTCCCCGCCCCAGCTTTACTTGTAGTAGATAATCACGGCTGAGTTTGCCGGTGTGAGTATTTTAACCTGTCCGTGTTAATGTAAAGAAAAAAGATTTCACTCAAATAAAAAAATACTTATAACTCAGGATGATGTAGTTATTACTGAAGACTATAACTGCCAAACCTGACATTTTAAAAAGAAATGATTATTTGCTGACTTTTTAAAAGTCAGAATTGCATATTTTTACCCTAAATGAGCATAGGAAAGCCTGGGCCATTACATGCACACACACGCGCGCACGCGCATGCAAGGCTGACGAACCTAGCTCTTCTTCCTCTGTCCTCCCGGCTCCAAATGCTCATCTTCCCCCAATCTGCTCCAGCCAGCACTCTCCCTCCAGACCAGCATCCTTGAACATCTCTTCTATCCAGTGCTGTCTCCTCAATGTCTGGCCCTCTGGCCTCTTAATGAGCTCTTATAGAGATGAGTGATTGAAAGGCTACAGCTGAATTGCTTTCCACATCATGCACGAAGCCAGGCCCCAGGGTAGGCCTTTACCACACTGTAGAGTCAGATGCCTTTAGTTCCATCTCTAACCAATCTTGACCAGTAGTTCTCACTCTTCCCCATCACTGCACTAAACCACTGCCGACCTTGCTCTACCTTTTTTTACTAAGGAAGCCGAAATTTTTTACTAGTCATATTAAATAAGCTGGGTCTTCAGTACCATGCATCCTCACAGATGGAAAAACCAAGGTCAAATGGTGAGTGGGCCTCAGGCCAGGCTCAGACCGCAAACTGGCCCTCATATTCATTGCTATGGAAAAGCCATCTGAGCCTCGTGGCTGGCACATGCGTTCTCACATGCATGCAGTTCGTACAGGCCCCAGCCAGGACAGCCCTATCTGTTGTACTCAGCATAGCTGCGTGGCTCAGGGCTGGACTCACACATTCAGCTGCTTACGCTGCTGTCAGCTGCGACCTCTGGACATTCTGGCCTGGACCCCACACAGACCTCCCTCACAGCATGGTGTCTGAGACCTGAGAGCAGCGAGGCCAAGCTGGAGCACTTCTCTAACCAGGCTACAAGCCACGCACCCTGCACTCCCCTTACTGAGCTGGTCACTGAGGCCAGATGGGCCCAGGGGGAGGGCCGCCTCCCCAAGCCTCTGTCTCCTTAGCTGTGATGGATGAAGGGTGGAAAGACTGCTGTAGAGGCATGTCAAGTGCCTTGTCCAGAGAAGGGTAAGTGGCACCACTGATACTACCTGACAAGTGCCAGCAAGGTCAGTTTCTGGAAGAACACATTGCCTTCAGGGCTTCCATCTCCCAAAACTCAGGGATGTGTTTGGGTGGTGACTTGTCCCAATGCTTTTGAGCCTTTCTTTATTTTCAGCCCATTCACAGAGGAAGACGTTCTCAGTCAAGGGCAGGTCACACCATTCAGCCTCGTGGGGGCCACATACTTCAGAGCCCAGTGCCCTGTGTTCCCATAGGAAATGAAACTTGCCCTAGATTAACCAATAACCATAGGATAAACGCATTGCTGTTGAGTTGATTCTGACTCATAGCTACCCTATAGGACAGAGAACTGGTCCACAGGTTTCCAAGGAGTAGCTGGTAGATTCGAGCTGCCAACCTTTTGGTTAGCAGTGGAGCTCTTAACCACTGCACCACCAGGGCTCCCAACCAGAAGATACTTATCAAGAAAAAGCTTTCATCTCATTACTACAACATGTAAAGAGGTCTTTAGTCCACCGTAACTCTAGAAGAAGAAACGGGATCCTATTAAGGGAAGTTTGGGGCAAAGTATCAGGAAATCCTTTGTTGCTAGATTGGGGAAGTGTCCCAAAGGAAGTGGGAAACAGCTGTAGGCGGAGTGCCCAGCCCCAGCTTCCAGCTAGAGAACAGCCCCTTTATGTGTCCATTTTCCCAATTCCTTTCCTAGGACAGTAGTTGGAAGATGCTTATCATTACCTTCACTAACACAGTAACTCATTGCCATCGAGTCGATTCCAACTCATAGTGACCTTATAGGACAGAGTAGAACTGCCCCATAGGGTTTGCAAGGAGCACCTGGTGGATTCGAACTGCAAACCTTTTGGTTAGCAGCTGAGCTCTTAACCACTACGCCACCAGGGTTTCCTACACAGTAGTGAGAGATTTTAAATTTTTCCTTGTGTAAAAACATAATTCAGTTATCAGAATAAAGCATCCCCTCATTTACCATAATGATAGGGCTTATAAAGCAGTCCTTCGTTTTTTTAATATTTTTCTCCTTACCAATGTTGTTCTCACCATTTGAGCAAGAAAGAAGGTCATGTCCTGGGGAAAGAATCTTCTGCTCTGGCTTTTTGGTGCTGTGTTGTTGGGAACAGAACGTCCAGGGCTAACTCTGTTTGTTTTAACCGGCATGCCTTTATCACTGCAGAGTTACGAAGTGAAGAGTGTCCTCGGAAAGGAGGTGGGGCCGTTAAACTGCTTTGTCCGGTCCATAGCCAGCCACCCGACAAGCTGCGTCAGACTAGAGGAAATTCAGCGCCTCAGTGCAGGGATAGCCTCTGCAAGGCACCCTCTGCTGCCCGAGAGTCTGTGAACTTTGCAGTGTGGCTGTATGGGTACTTGGTGGTGGTGGTGTGTTTATTTGTGAACAATGGACAGAATGAACGTAGTTTATGATCTTGAAATGGAGTTTACTTGGATTTTTCTGGGGCAAATATTAGTAAATTGGCTTTGTAAACTATAAATAAAATAGTTTTCTACAATTTTATACTTTTATTATCTTCCTGTGGCCATCTACAAACTTAAGAACATGTTGAAGTTAAATAAGTTTGAGGTCTTCATTTTGTCGATAATATTAATAGATCAGAAAAATGATTGTTGTAATTCTAACGTGTTTGAAATTTTACCATGATTCAGCATGTTTTTCTTATACTGTTTGTTTTAAACATTCCCCTAAAAAATACCCTGGAAAGCTAAGCCTTTGTCCCATTTTGTAATATTACCGTTCTTCTACAGTAAATGTTCAACTTAAGCCCTTTGCAGTTCAGTATTTTTGGGAAAATGTGCTAGGAAACTATGTCAGAGGTGAAACTGTTACCCATAAAGTTTAGATAAGCTAACCAGTATGATTACAGTTATACTGAGTAGAGATATAGATAGCTCACTATACAATATGCCTGTTTAAATCACGCTGTGTAATGTGCACAGAGCAAAGATTACACAGTCTCAAGTAGCCGTTGTCGGAGGTTGTATTACTTAACTAAGGACAACCCTTTATTCATATGTAGATAAGGATATGGTTATCTTTTGCTTTGTTGGCAGAGATTTAAATTGGCGTGAAACTAAGAATTAGCTTTCGACACTGAAGATTTCCTGTGTTTCCTTCCTTATAGCAATATAATTATGACAGTCCATGGTTAATTAATTACCCTTAGATAGCAGTTTAGACCAAGAAAAGGTGTCCAGTACCCAAACTGGGGGGCAAGGCAGATGGCTCTATTTGTTAGGGTAAGCCTTGAGGCATTATCATTATTGGTAAGATATTTGGTTTAAGTAGCCTTTTAACCAACTACAAGACTATTTTGTATTTGTACTCACTTTCAAAATCTACTTGTAGTTGTCCATAAGACAGGAAAGTGAAAGCAAAGTCCCCTGAAAACCAAAGAAATGCAAACAGGCTTCTCTGATAACTGACCCCTTCTCTGTCCCTCATCTCTGAAGAAGGGCCCCCATATCCACCCGCGGAGGCCTCCCCTCTCCACGTCGGGCCTTGAGTTTGATCCACCTCCAACCTGAAACTGCTTTCTTATCCTGCGTTTAGTCACGCTTCACTGACCTCGAGCAAGTGAAAAATTCGGAGGTAGCCTGTGGCATATTTGAAACGCAAACCAGATCCCTTCTGAACTCGGTTCCCCCATAGGGGCACATCCCTTGTCCCGTGGCCTCCCTAGGTGACCTACTGCATGTTCCAGGACGGATGATGGGCCCTTCCTCAGCGGGGTCCCTGGCCACCTGCCTGCGGGAGTCACTGCGAACACAGGAGGCAGGTCTTGTTTTAAATGCTTTATTCTTAAAAATATTGTAAAAACTAATATAAAAAGGTGAGCATGCTCAGTCTTTTCCTCTTAGCTACAATATAAAGGATTTGAGACCTCATTTTACAAATGTACCTTAGCTGCATCGATAGGAATTAGATGTAGAAAAAGCCACCATTATAAAAATAATTTATGAGAAAATAACCAGTCCTAGCTTCTGGCGCAGTTGCGGGCGGTGAGTGCCGGCGGGCTCTGGACCGCGCCCCGCCCGTCGGGCTGAGGTATGGGTCGTTGGCGAGTCTCTGTGGACAGCTGGCCGGCGTCACCGGCCGTCAATGGCCCCAGCTGGGAGGAAGGGAGCGCCGGGCAGCTGCTTGAAGAACTGCCGCAGGCCGACCAGGTCCCGCGTGAGCTGCTCCACGCGTCGCTGCAGCTTCTCGTTCTCGGCCGACAGCTCCACCAGCTTCTGCTGCATCTCCTGGTTGCGCCGCTTGGCTTTGTCGCGGCTCTTGCGCACGGCGATGTTGTTGCGCTCCCGCCGTTGCCGGTACTCGGGGCTGCCGCGGTCTGGGCCCCTCTTGCCGGTGCCCTTGTCGCGGGTCGGCGCAGGTGGCCCGGGGCTGCCGCGCGGCGGCTCGGGAGACGCGGGCGGCG